TAATATTAGTATATACTTTCCTGACTGTGTTTCAATTCCAAATCAAAATTAATTCCTGGGTTTCAGTCATATTCAGCTCTATTTATCAATTAAAATACGTTTCGGTGTATTTTTCCACCATCATCAGTTACCACCATCATCAGTTACCACCATCATACATTTTGTATGCCAAGGCTTAAAGCAGCACAACGCTACACATAAAAACTGATGATGGTGGAAAAATACACCGAAACGTATTTTAATTGATAGACACAATAAATGACTGAAACCCAGGAATTAATTTTGAAATAATATTAGTACCATTCGAATATCGAAAGCAGAATTATTATTGATTTGTTAGAATAAATAAATACTCAGAGATCGCCTAAACTCTCGCATAAATACGATAAAATAGTCTGAAAATTGCCGAATGTGGAAATAGAAAAATTCCCGGTCGTTGCTTGTAACTCCTTTGGCTCCGGCTCTTTGAGCAGCGTAGAATTTTTTTCATCCTTTATCAATCATAGTTGTTTCCTGGTATGTTTTTATTTCTTTAACGAATGTATACGGGAATAACTTTACCGTTTCCTGTCTTCATATAATTTACACTTTCTAATTTTTTTCTTTTGTTAAAATTAAAACGAATGTGCTTTTATTTTAATCCTTACTACAATTGCAACAAACAGAAATATTAATTTAGTTAAAATAATTATGGGGCATAAATCCCAATCTGCACCGTGTGTAATTAGTTTATTTAATAGGTTGTTTCAAAAGTACTAATAAAATAAACATATACTTGACATTAAACAATAGTGTTTTAATTCAATAATCTTTAAAGAATTTGAACACATCAGACTTCGATACAATAAAACGGTCTTAACTTTTCATGTTAATCATTCTTTTTGGGTTCTCGTGCAACTACTGCCAGATAGCAAAACGCCCCACATCTTGGTACAGGTTGGGCGGCTAAAAAAGCACCACCATCTGGGGAATGGTCGTAAAGCATGGGCGGTTTCGGTCCACCTTGTCCTGTTTTGTCTCCCCATTCGTCCTGATTTTCTTCTGTTACTCCGCCCGGCTGAAAAAATGTTATATAATGTTTCAGTTGTCGAAAAGTCGACTCAGGATATATTATCGAATTTAAAATTTTGTGTTGCAATAATATTTTATTTTGATGAATATTATTATACAGGGTGTTCCGTAAATATGTTAAAACATTTTAACAGCGTGTTCTCCTAGTCATTTTAGAGGAGGGTCTTTCTGAGAATTTTTTTTATTTGAGGTCTTTTTTTGATCTCCAAAATGGCGAAAGGTACTAGTTTTTGTTGGTTTTCTTTAAAATGGTTATACATTCTTCAGAAACTTCAATTTTGGTACACATTATAAGCTAATTGAGTGCCATTCTATGTTAGTATTTTGTAGTTCAGTTTTCTTTTATACAGGGTAGAAATGTGGAACTCCTAGTTTTATTTTGTTCAGAACTTTTTTGTGTGCACCTAAACTTTTATCAACATACTTTTTTTAATTACTACAAGTTATTTATCAACTTTTTTAACTCTTATTGTTTTTTCTTAAGGGCACTAGTTTGTCAGCAAAAAATTAAATCGTTTCGGCTTGATCAAAACTTTCCAGGCGGTTGAATTGGTAGAAGTCAAGAAGCTCCTATAAACTCGCCTCCTAGATCTCCCGATCTAAACGCGCTTGATTTTTACTTCTGGGGCCATTTAAAAAATACAGTATATTCACCAGAAGTGAATACAATCGAAGAACTTCAGGAAAGAATATTGAATATTTCTAACAAAATAAGAACTTCAGTGCAAACTATACGGTCTGTAAATTTTAATTTTGTTAAAAGACTGCTGCTAAGTTAACATTAGAATGGTTATTTAAATTTAATTTTGTTCGTTTTTATCGATGCGCATTGTTACCATGTTTTTATTGAAGTAAAATGTATTCAAACTTAATAATTGTAATCTGAACCAAAATCCACAATTTAGAACAATAATTTAGGTTGTTAGGAATCAACTAATAATGCGTACCAAAATTGTTATATGAAAACGTTATTAGATTAAAAAAAAATAATTTAATTACTTACACATTTTGAGAACGGCATAGAAAACGACTTTATTTTTTGCGGGCATTCTAGTGGTCTTTGGGAAAAACAATAAGAGATAAAAAAGTTGGTAAACAGCTTGTAGTAATTAACAAGATTATATCGAGAAAAGTTTAAGTGCACACAAAAACGTTCTGAACAAAACGGTAGTAGGGGTTCCACGTTTCTACCCTGTATAAAAGCAAACTGAACCACAAAACACTATCATAAAATGGCGCTCAAGTAGCTTTTAAAGTATACCAAAATTGAAGTTTCTATGTTTAACCGTTTTAAAGGAAAACAACAAAAACTAATATTTTTGGAACACCCTGTATATTGGTAAGCGGGAGATAAAACATCAAATATAAATTTTCAATAATAATAACGAGAAGGACATATCACAACTTTTCATTAATTGTGAAATACGTTTAAAAAACTTATTCAAGAAATAACTTATTAAAAATGTGAATTGAAATGATTAAAGTGACCATAAAGAAAAAGGCATAAAATAATCTGTAAACTAATTTGTAAAAATCTGTAAACTAAACTGTAATTTAAAACTTAATTGTTTGCAAATACGACAGCAAATCAAAAACAGAACAGAAGAGGCCAACTTAAGTCACTCTGTATCCTCATTTTTCCTCTACGGGCAGACACGAAAAAACGAAAAGAAAAGTTTTAAATCTCATCGGGTAAACAACCGATACATTTATGAAGTGAATGTATACAGTTGCGGAATAAATATTAAACAACCTGCAAATCATAAACGGTTATCGCAAATTATCTTGTATTATACAGAGGTTGTTGAAAATTGGAATACAAAAATTAGAGTAAAGAACATTATTACATATTATTCAGACGAGAATTTTGCAACAAAATTTAAATTAGACAACAAAACCAGAAAAGGCTTTGATACCTGGATACCGTAGAATTTAAGTAACTTGAAATAATAATAAGTAATTCTTAATGTGGATACGAACAAGTTTTTGGAGCATTTTATCCAAGATAAAATGTGCATCTTAAACAAACTTCTTAGTAAGTGCTTTATATTTGACGTTTTTCAGTGAACACTGAATTTATGCTGATCACAGAAATGTAACTTTAATCAATTTGAACTTTGGTGATGAAGAACGTTTGCTTCAAGTCGCTCTATTATTCATCCAAAATGTATATAAAATTTTCGCGTTTATGAAAAAATTACAGCAAGTTCGTAGATTCGTTTTATTAAAGATGTTTTAACAAAGTGCTTAATAACAATGTTTTCATTGCATTTCCAACTGTTGGAATAGAATGGAAATAAGAGCGCAGTGTATGGTTAGTATAAGTATTTGATGATATGTTGCTATTTTATATTATCCCTAATTGTATTTATATCCTTGAGTAAATCTTACCAGAAGATGAGCAATATCAGGCAAAGGACTAGTAGGAGGAGGTTCAGTAAACGGAGGCTGCAATTCCCCTTGCTGGATATTTACTACCAAGTAATACATAAAATCATTTCTCAGTTTCCTTTCCTCCAGGGATCGATTGCAAGTGGCCAATTTCTTCATCCATCTAACTGCTTTTTGTCTATCTAAAACAGGTAAATTATACCCAGTATCCAGTTAAGCGGACAGAGTTGGGATCGATTTACCATCTGTTTTGTTCAAATTGGGCAGCATAGTTTTCGCCAGGAACATGTTGTAGTTACAGTCGTAGTTCAAGTCTTCTGCCGTTTCGTTCATTTTGGATGATTTATTATGGAGTTTTGTACACAAAAAAATTTAGACGTTGTCGTGACAGGTCAGGAAAATGACATCGTTGCCAAGAAATTGTTCGATTGGACCAGTTATTTTTTGAACTAATTTTTTATCAGGTTTCCTGAATAGGTGATCCGATTTTTTCCAGTTTTCTTATACTGATCTCTTCAGCGACTTAAGGTAATTTAATTTTTATATTAGTTATTTAATACGTTTCTTACTAAGTTTAATATATATGTTTATATTATTTTTAACATTTTAGTTTTTATTGTGTTAATAAAGTTCTAGAAATGTAACTTCCATTGCCTTCTAAATAATGGTGGAAATTTTCTCCGTGTTCTCAAAAATTCGATTTAATTTTAAGTAAATTTAAGCAAACGTTTCATATAGGGCGGCTTAACAAAAACTATCTAAAACCGCTCTGCGGGCTTGCTTTTATAACTTTAAGAAACGCTTAGCCCCTATTTTTCATTTCCTATACTTTAACTTTAGGAGGTGTGTTTCTCGATGTTTTATGAGCCACCCTATATATGATCTTGCGGTATATTAGGGCATATTTTTGATTAGATTTTAATTAGAAATGGATTTATTCCATAGCCTCTTTCCAAAGAAATAAATATTATTACTATTGTTAGATTTATTCTTTTGCCGCTATGTGACCGAAAAATCCAAAGAACATATTTTATCCATTTTTAATTAGACTTATTACCCGAAATGATTTCTTACAAAAGTTACATTCGAATAATACGTTCAAATATATGTGATTTCTTCAAATTTTTGATTGATATAATGGAATTGAACAGAGAAAAAATGAGATTTTTTAATCGAATGCCGGTTTTTTGTAGGGTCTTTGCATTCTACACTTGAATGGAATGAATATGCCGAGTATTTTTAAGTAGTGACCAAAAATGTAGATATAAAAACTTATATTTCGAATCCTCTCTGTCATTGAATTGAATAAAGAGCCCTATTTTTTAGCTGATTTTCCAGTTTGTCTGTGTTTATTCAAATTATAACAACGTCGCTTTAAACATGTTTTTTTTAAATACAATTTTTTTTCGAGCAGCAACATACGACTTACAGTGTGGGAAAATGGTATTACATTGGTAATAATTATAACTAAGGCATGAGCAAATTCAGCATTCCCAGTATGCTGCGTCTAGGCTGGCTCTCTTCTGTACATAACACCATGAATAATTATTAAAAATAAAACTACACGAAATATTCCGCACCGTAATGAGATAAATCTCATAGAGGGAATTTATGTTTAAATATGCTTAAAAAAATTAATATAATTTTTTTTATTAAAAATCGTTATAATTTTAACGAACGAACAACATTTTAATTTATTAGACCATTAATTGGTCTAAAGTACCAAGAATTGAGGAAAAAGTTGAAGGAGAGACTTTGAAGGAAGAAATTAGAAAGTAAAAAGTTAGAAAAGACTGGAATTTATATTATTTTATAACTGAAAATATTCGCCGTTTGGCTTACTCAACTTGTTATAATACGCAACAAATTGTTGTAAATAAATTCTTTATAGTTAAATATGTATATGTTTTGTTCACTACAAGTTTTTGCGCCATTTCGGTATGTGGATAGAAGGTTTGATACGTATATGTCATCAATTTTCATCATATATCAAATTTCTAAAGCGTTTAATTTTCCATCCAACCCAAACTACTTTTAATATCTTATTAAAGTTTTATATCAATTATTTTTAATATTAATTATTATTTATATACAAAAATATCTCAACGCTTTTTTGATTGTGTTCACGTAAACAAATTTTAGCCGATTTTCTGCAAATCGCAATCACGCTTTTTTCGCAAGCTTGAAAATAGAAAATCTATAACAGCAGTTTTAAAGTGACTTTTACTGTACGTTACACTTTTAAAACTAAGTTTTCAATTGTCACAATAGTAATTCACCGAGGAAGGAAAACTAATATATTTATAATATAAAGGATTAAAAGCAAATAAAGACATTTGCTGTAGGGAATGCATACATTTTTAAAACACCAAGACAATCAACTATAGCCCTTCTGCATACTTTAAAAGTATCATTTTTGAATATTTTGCTTAGAATTAGGTGAGAAAATATTCGGAACATTTAATTCGTATAACTGTATACTTACCTACCATTATAAAATATAAATTCTGAAATAATGCCAGTAAATGGAGGTTTACTGGTTCTACGCCAAACTGCTCATGCTGCATGTGGGCATATTTTTTTGCTTTATTGCGTTTGTTAGCTACTTAATTAAATACATTTACTTATTTAAACAAAAAATACATTTAGTATATAATTTTCAGCTGTTACAGAGTCAATTAATTAATTAAAAAGCATATAAATAAAATAGATTACGAGCATTTTAAATATAACTAATAGATACTAATCAACATACGTTTTGCCAAAAGTATGCAATATTTTTAATATATGTTTTTGGGTTTTGAAAGGGAATCGCTATTGTTATAAAAACAATTCGAGTTTCTATAAAATCATCAGCTTGTAATTATAAATATACGTTAACGAAAAAATAATTGTCTACTTGTACTGCTGAACATGTAAAATTATATTGAAATATTTGACTCCTTTAATTAAAAGCCACTAAGTAACACCCTCCAATGTCCTCACTGATCCTCAGGCGAAGTTCTACCTTAAAAATTTGGTTTAAACTAGCTATTCCTACTTATATTTAGTGGAAAATTCCTATTGCATTATTAGTTCTTAAGTGGCATGATTTTCTTCTTTCTAATATCATTGAGATAAGCACGTGTTTTGTTCGCACCTTTATCAAATATAGAATTTATAACTAAACATGTTTTTTAAAATATATTTTTTAGTTATCAGAAATATTTGCCCATCGAAGGGTTGAGAATATTGAACATATTTACGTAAACTCAATAACGTGTGTAATGAAAACAATACAACTTATTGGGTACTACTCGTTAACCATATTCAAAATTATGGAAGTGAGTACTTTATCCTAAGTATGGCACTTGTTACAAATCATATAAATATGCCTGCTAAGATCACCCTACGTATCTCTTGGCTTAGGTACAAGTATTTATATTTCTACGGATATATTTTTATCCTCTGAGGCACAATTTTTAGTTTTTAATCGTCAATCTTGCGTGTATTTTATAGACTTGCTCATAGATTATACTTGGAAGTTAGAAAGTGTTTCTGTTTGTGGAGCGTGCAACGGGAGTTTATACATAAGAAGTTAACTTCGTCTGCGTCTAGGAATCTATAAAAAGTTAGGTATGTAGTTTTTATACAAGCATTTTCATATGTAGAACAGAGAGAACCGTAAACAATTTTAATTAAATTTGATTTATTTGTTTTCATAGCATTTGCTTACTTTGCAAAAAAAAGGTGAAAAATTATTAGTCGGCAACGAACTCGCAGTTACGGATTATTACAAACTGAAATAGGAATATATTTTATTTCCAAAATTAATGTTATCCATCAATTATAATTCACACAACAACAATTATTTATTAAAATAAATACATTTACATTCAGCTTCAATTTTTTTCATTTAGTTCAATTCCAGTAGCTTCTTATAATATATTTTAGTTTAGGGAGCGAAAATAAAATACTGAAAAATCAGTTATGGGATTTTTGGCCAATTTAAGAGAAAACAGTTTCAAATCACATAATAAATGAATTTTTGTTATTTTAACTAAATTATTTTAATTAAGATAATCGTATATTAGGACACATTCTTTTAAATCCCAGGCAGAATAAATTTTAAAAAATGTCTGCTACTGCTATTAAAATCTAATAATCGTCGCCAATTGATCAAATTATAGAATCATTACCATCAGACATTATTATATGATGAGACATTAATATACCAGAGACAAGTACTTGTATCTGAATATACGTCATATCGTCCATCTTATAGTCTATTTTGATGATAACTTCTGTTTAACTTCTGAACATGGTTGCAGATGTGTTCGCATTTCTTGACAGTTTTGTTTCACTTTTCAGGTTAACTGTAATGTTTGGAAAATTAGGAAAAATTTAACATTTTTGAAAAACTCAGTAGGCGCAACTAAAGCCGCATTTGATTGTCTAAATTTTGCACACCATTATTATTTCGAAAAACCTATAAATATGTCAGAGGAACAGAAGGAAGTCCTGAAGAGCGATGGGGTGAAAAACGGAGGAGTGAAAAATATTGGGGTACCACCTCGTTCGAAATCAGGTCTCATGAAGTTGTCCAGCTATGTATTAGCTCTTCGCCCTTGGTCCTTAAGTGCTAGTTTAATGCCAACCTTACTCGGTTCCACCATTGCCTACAAATACCCAGGTGCTGCAGACTTTAACTACATCACCCTAATTTTTACAATATTTACTATAGTGTCAGTACATGGGGCTGGAAATGTAGTCAATACCTATTTCGATTATGTCAAAGGTAAGACGCAATTTGGCATTGTTCTATTCCATTGCTAAACGTTTCTATTCTTCTATTCTAGGTATTGATAACAGAAAATCAGATGATCGAATCCTAGTTGATCACATTCTCACTAAAGATGAAGTAGTCTCTTTAGGAGCAATGCTCTATTTTTGCGGATGTGTTGGCTTCATTTTAACTGCAGCTTTATCGCCAGCAAAAATGGAACATTTAGCGCTAGTTTACTTCGGCGGCCTCTCCTCAAGTTTTCTCTACACTGGAGGGATTGGATTCAAATACATTGCCCTAGGAGATGTATTGATTTTGGTCATTTTCGGACCTATTGCGGTGCTTTTTGCCTTCCTCGTACAAACTGGACATATTGAATGGACTACTATGTACTATGCTATACCCCTAGCATTAAATACGGAAGCTATTCTACATAGCAACAATACAAGAGACTCAGAGTCAGACAAGAAGGTCGGTATAGTCACACTAGCAATCATCATTGGGCATACAGCTTCTTATATACTGTATGCATTTTTATTATTTACACCATACATTATGTTCATGGTAGCATCTTTGAAATACTCAAAATGGTTTATGTTGCCTCTGGTAACTCTTCCAAGTGCTTTTCGAATTGAGAAACAGTTCAGGTCGAGTGATATACATGCAGTACCAAAGAAAACTGCAAGACTCAACTTGTCTTTCGGTATTTTGTATGTTTTGGCTTGCAGTATGGTTCCCAGTTTACCGTTTATAACTCAAAGATAGATACCGGAAGGCCTGCTTGCAGTGTTTATAATTACCAGGTCTATTTTTGTTTTATTGAGGAACTGGATAGAGTTCTAAGCGTGCCACTCTGTTACTTCAAATCAGATTCCAGATTTAAAAAACGGCGCAAAACAATCAAGAAGTGTTAATTTTTTTGCATTTTAAACTATGTTTTAATCTAAATTGAGACTTCATGGAAACTAATCGCTAGTAGGTACTTATGCGGAGGGATAATGCTTGTAATTGTGAACCCTCTTCAAGTGATGAAGGATTCAGTACTCAGGTACAGAATGAACATTTTATAAATAACTTTTACCTTTTGATTGGTTTCGTGGTCCTGCGCCGCAATAAATAAAGCCTGTCGAAATGTACGTCTTATTTAAATGCATATCCATAATTCATTTTCATAAACCTCAAATCATATGGTGAAGTTGGAATTAACAATTGTTTATTCTGAAGACTGTTTGTGTATTACTGATTTGATTTGAAAGAACAACTGGCCTTATTTGTATTTTAGAAGCATTTTTAGTATTGCTAACTTCTGTTACTTAAATATTGATCATGTTAGCTTTAAATATAGATAGTGAATGGTGGAAAGACAATATATCTATGTATTTATTGAACAATTCCTTTACTGAACGAATTTGACAAGTTTTACGTAATAAAAGTATTTATTTATTTTGTTATAGAAAATGACTATTTATTGATTAGATATAATTGGTTGTTCTGCAGAACTAAAGTATCTTACCTCTTCGTTTGCATTAATTGCCCCATTGTTTACAAATTATGCGCACTGTTTTATCATCAAAACTTACACAAACAACATGTAATGTGCACAGATGCCCCATGCATGAATTTTTACTTATATGGAAAAAATGTTCGCGTTTTATCTAATGATAGTTTTTCGTATATTAGTTCAAATCAAAGACGCAATCAGGCATTTTTTTGTCTAGTATGTATAAAATCCGATATTTCCGTATTTATGGGAAAAGTTTCTGCTGGCTGTAGATAGAATTACATTCTGATATTCACAGGCTTAGAATATAATTTTCAAAATTCCTAATAAGGATGCAGGATGCTTGATAAGTCGATTATTTCTTTACTGGACTTTATAATCCAGTTAATTTCGGATATATTTTCTTAATATACCATATTACGAAAACCTTTAGTTTTCTCACATGCTGATTTTTATTCGAAAAATGTTTTTATTTTGCTGTTGCTGTTCAAGTTGGAAGCGATTAATTGAATAATGCAAAAGCTAGTGTACTGAATTTGTCAACTTGTGCATCTTCTAGACTTTGTTGCAGTGAAAACTTAATAATTTTTCAGTTTCTATATGTACATAAAAAACCGGTTTTTGACAGATTTTTCCAAAAATTCAAGCCTCAACATCGGGTGCAAATACAAACCGAAAGAAATTTCACATCAATCGTTATAATAGTCAACAGAAGTCCTTCAAGCTGAATTTCGGTTGCGTAAATTAGTAGTAAATTTCTATTGAATAATTTTTCTAGTGAGCTAAAAATATTTTATCTCAAACCTGGTTAACTTTAACCCATTGTAGGTCAGAAACAAATCGTTTTCCGAATATGGTATATTAAGAATTATAGCCAAAATGAAAAATTGTACATTTCTTAAACACCCGGTGTAATTACGGTCTTCAACGATAAAATTCGACAATAATCCCTAAGTCTGAAATGTTTACCCTCAGCTTGTTACTAAGATGTATATGCATACTGTCGGAGTTTAAATAGTAAATAGACTTTTATACTCAAGGTTTTTAAGAAAACAAGTATAACCAAGATGTAGTTTATGTAATATCACAATATCTTCCAAGTTGTCTAAAAATATTGGTTTATAGCGTTAAAATATATTGTGAAAGCTTTAATATCTACATATCTGTACAAAAAAAAATGCTCACCGTTTTAATAAATGTTACATATCACTTTAACATTAGTTTCATCCATTTTTGTAGAACTTCTAGCTGGAGGAGTTAGTTTATTGGAAAACTGACGACTTTTATCAATGATCTAGACCTTCGCGACAGGCTTAAGAAATAGTTCGTAATAAAACACAAACCAATAAACAAAATGAAAACATGCAGTTTTGTACACTTTTTATTTATTCAATATTTCAATAATCTACAAACTAAACTCCATATAAAAATTGTTTAGTATATCTAAGAAGGACTGCTAAATCCCTGATTAGAAGAAACCGATTTGTTTTTTGACACAAAAAATATACAAAAAAAAACTGAAAAAACTGATAGCCTAAAACGAATCAAGCTTTTTACAATAGTATAATTAATTTAAACGGTTGATATTTACATCCTACAAATCATTATGTTAATTTTCTATGGCTTTTTTTCGTCAGATTTCATCGGACCTTTCAAATATATCAGAATGAGTAACTTAATGGTGATTGTCGAGGAAAAGTCGCGATTGTTCATTCCGATACAAACTGGGTAAAACCAAGGTTTTTCTTTAATTTTAACATTTACCCACTTTGATACACCTATTCCGGCTCTATTAACGTTACGCTATCAACTTACTCTATATTGCAGCAAAATTGCAAGAAATTAACGCTGAAATTCACAGAAATCAAAAGCAATGGCAGTATAAGACATTTTCCGATGTTAGTAAAAATGCGAAGACAATCTAAAATTTATTGTGTATTAAGTGAGATCTATATTTATCAGCCTTGATTGTATCATATGGGTTATTTGAAAGTATTATATATTCAGCCTATTTTTTTTAGGTAATGATTTCTTCAATAAAACAATTTCAGATTACTTTTATATACATAAAAGTCGTTCTATTAATCAGTTCTGAAAATTTGTATATAGGCAGAAACACGAACATAATTTTGCAACTTGTTTATGTAATATGAAATCGACAATTCATTTCACATACTTGAACAAAAGACATATTACATTTAGATTTTTGGATGTCCTCACTTACTTCCGCTTCAAATTTCATGTTAGTCAACAGTATGTTGATTACAAATTTATATTAGCAATTTAAGGCAGTTAAATTGTAATAAAAATGCTAATCGAACCAGGAATACAATCCTTCTGTTTTACATGATCTGGAACTGTTATCTTTTGCTCTTTTTTTTTATTAATAGAACGAGCTGTACAACAACGTAATTAAATTCAATTTTAAACAATACGTAAAATTGAAATCAATTGTGATTAAACGTCGTGGAAAATATGCTGACGAAAAAGTTGTCCTTTCCACAGCCGAACAGAAGATAATCTGCCGTAATAACAAATAAACTACACCCTACAAACCATTGCAATATAAAAAATATAAAATCAATAGACCAAATTTACATAATGTAATTAATCTATACGACATACTGAATTTTGATTTTACCACAAAATAGGAATTACATGTTCATACCGAGTCCTAGCGGCTGGGACAGAATTTCAGTTCATGCCTGATTTGGATTTCTCAGACCTCCATATTCGAATTTTTTCTTTGAGATCATGTACTGAAAGTATTTGCATCATTATTTATTTGACGATTCAAAAATAAATGTAATAATTTTTTTTTATTTAGACATCAAATGAAAAATTGAATTCCGTTTGTTACTTGTGTGTAATAAGTGTTTTTTCCTGAAAAACCAAAGTACTTATCCAGTATCTTACCAGGTAACAGCATATCCTCGGTTAGGGGCTGTCTATTAAATGGATCTGTATTACTATTTAATAAATGTCTCATAATAACAGCTCGATCCATGATTTGTCCGCTTGGTAGCAGAACCGGGTCTGTCATCAACGTATCCATTAAAGGGTCTTTAAATTCATCTGGAGCATCTTCATGCAATTCATCAGATCTAGGCAAAGAGAGTTCCTATTAGTGGGCGACATTTCCAAACAGACAGAGTTAGGCTTACTTCTGGTTGCGTTCAACTACTCGGCAGGCTTTTTCAGCTAATTCTCTGAATTGTTCGCTCTCTACTGCAGTCTTGATGGAAACCCGTTCCATAATGGAAGCAGCGTCAGTAAAAAGTTGTCGGCTGAAGGATCTCTACCAATCGAATGTTTATTTTTGAAAAATATTTCATACGGAATCCATAAACTCAAATTACCTCGTCGCTGGCGAGTGCCTCAGCAAAAGTATCACAGTCTAAGTGCAAATATATGTCAATTAATTGACTTAAGAGTCTTCGCGGCTCCCAACCATATTTGTCAGGATTTTCAACCTAAAAACGTTCTTGATTAAATCAGTTCAGTAAAAAATCAGTACTTACCTTCAAATCTTTATACTTGCGCCCGCACAACTGCTGAAGGTTGAAATTGAGCATAGATGCCAATCTGCCGGCCAATTCCGGTCTCAAAAACGGCTCTTTGATATCAACAGTCAAATAGTGGAACATATCAACCGTCTCACGTGCTAATGTTAAATAGGAGCGACATTGTCTCTCATCAGCAGTCAATTGTCTTATACGACTTTGTTGTTGATCCTGGGGCATTTTTGACCTAAAACAACATGAAATGTTTAATGTCTTAGAAAACTGGTAATTTACGCATAGCACAACCGCATTGCAATTCCGTGTTATACTACTTACCATTTATCATCATCGGCTATCAGTAACTGAATATCGTGAATTCTTTTCAAAGATTCCAAGGACTCGTCTAGTAAAAATGTCGTATCGTTCATTAGCATGTTAATAAATTTAACAAACTGATTGCCGCTTTTTGATTCATCGACCACAGCTTGTCGATGAACTGGGGAACCCCACATACCTGTAACAATAAAATCAATCATTAATAACTGACTAGATTTGCAGAAAATTATTTGTGCTTGATATGCGAATAAGAATAAATGCCTACCTTTAATAATAACACTTATGTGGTACCTAATAGAAAATTTATCGTAAAACTCTGAACTGGAACCGGTAGTTTCCACCTGAATCAGAAAGCATATTAAGTATAGTAGAATATTGAGTAAATAATAACACAACTTCAATAAAAGTACTTACATCTGTATAAAATTTCATTAAAGAACTAGGCAAAACTGTGCAGGTAATATGATGGGACATTAACCTAATGTAAAGGGGCTCACACCGTGGTTGAATGCTGGGAATTATCACAAATATCACTTCGATCAGTTTGGCAACGAGATACGGATTTTTAACCATATGTGAAGAACACACTGTCACTAACAGCCAGCTGATTAGTGTATCTTCAGTGTTCTCGGCAATTACACTAGGGAAGTATCTGGAGAAGCACATAATAAAAAACAAATGGCTAATTATAGAACCCAGTAACTTACTGCAAAGCGAATAATAAGAATTCCGCTATATCCTCGACGTACCACTCGGGCATTGCATAGTACGCGGGAGATTGTGGTGGAGGCAGTGGCAAATCTGGAACAGCAGATCTCGGAGCGGCTCCAGTCATTAAACTCAACAAGTACTCGCTCACCGACGTGTAAAAAATTAAAGTGCGACGAATTAAGTTATAATCTAACAAGCCTGCATCTGCACAAGCTTTCGATCTGAAACAAGTTTAATTTTTATTATAAAACGCATTGATTATGCATCCTATTTTCTATTCTGAATGATTGTGATCCATGAATATCTTTACAGTTCGGGAATTTCGAACAGTACTTTAAAAAATATAATTCAGATTAATTACATAGCTCTCGACACGAAACTGAATGATCATTTCGATATTTTTAATCGTTTCCAACACAAAAGTGAAAATATTTCCTAATTTGACCTCCATCTTTTTAAAGTTTAAACATTTCTTGTTAAACCTAATTAACGAACATCTAGGGCGATATTTTCCATAGATCTTAAAATATACATCGTTTTATACTTAAACGGCCTCTTAAAGTTTTACACTTCTACTTGTATGTCTTTACTGAAGAGGAATTTCTGAAAAAGACCGTAGCAACTGTTCGCTTTTTCCCACCCGCTTCGTAGATATCATATTTTCTGAATTCCAGAACAGGAGAAAAGGTGAGACGTTAGTCCGATATTCAACTCATTCATACCAAAATTTATTTCAACAAATGCACAATCTTTACGATTATTTTTCCAGTTGGAGTCAGACCAATTAAAATGAAAAATTCCTTAAAAATGTGACCGACCTAGGCAAGATTATGAATCGGGAAATCTCGTTAAATAATAATAATAATATGCATACTTACTTGTTGAGTTTCTTCAATTGTTGCTTCCATCTTTTAATAAACTGTTTATTCCTGCTAGCGAAAGCAGTGTTTTTCCATTGAGCTTCTGAAGCTGTGGTCTCATCAACCAGTTTTTGCAGGTCACGAATCGCCCTAAGTCTACGTTGATACTTTTGAATAGCTGGTAATATCGACAAATGATGGCAGTATAACGTTAGGAACCAACAGGTGGTGGAAAAATTAGGTGAATGGAATTCGTATGATTTGTCTGCAAATTATGAATGAAATGTAAAATAATGTATATTCCGTTTGCTGTTACTGTGAACTTACTAAATTCTTGAAGCCAATCGGCTACTTCTTGAGATGAAAATTTCAGCCTCGTTTCGTTTTGTATGACAATCATTGTGTTTGGGTGGAAAGGGTACATCATATCCATTTTATTAAATTTTATCTTCAGAGATAAATTCTGTAAAACACTCAAAAGATTCAACATAAAACCATCTCCTGCTAGTTGACGTTCCTCCATTGCAAGTTGAGCTCGCTTTTCATTACGTTTTAATACGGTTTGTATGTAATTCAAACAACTATCTCTACTGTCTTGGTTTGCAAGTAAGTAGTGGAATATTCTATGAAGAGTGTTACGAATATGTTCTACTTCAAGTTGCAATCCCATTTTTAAAGTGTTGTCATTTATCGAATTTCCTACAAATTTCAGTTTAATTCTGAATGTAGTTCAACTTTTTTTATTAGTATAGCATTGTACCAATAATTTTAAGGTAGATAATAGTACTCACCTGAAAACAATTTTTCTGCCACTTTGGGTTGATCTTCAGCAAATACAGAAATATCCAAGAAAGGTCCCAAAAACGACAACAAGGACATTTCGCGGCCACCGGCATTTGTAAGAGGTTCAGCTAAATTAAACTGCGGCTGTTTTACAATCAGACTACATATAGGCCTATTGCCACACCTGATGTCAGCTAATTCAAACAAAGCTTGCAGCGGCAACCTGTAGGTGTAACTGAATGTTGCAATCTGCGTATTAATATAATTTTAAAATATAGTAGTTACCTATGCTGATCGTCAACCATACAAGAACTTCGCATTAATCTCAATATGCCTTGTAGTATTGGAGAGAACACTTTGCTAAATAGCTCAGGGCTTGTATGTGTACGCGTTACCAGCTCAATCAAAAACCCTCTGAAAAAACGTGAAAAATTAAAAAAGACGTGCCAGAAAGCGATGACAATTATTTAATCAGTTATATTTATTTCAAAAACCTTGCAATTCACCTAGGAAATGTTTGATGAACTATAGAATTGAGAAGCGGCGACTTTTCATCCGCATCTTCGGTTTTTGGTACTATAATACCCTGAACGACCAAAGTGGTGTATTGAATAAGCTGAGCTCTTATTTCGATCAAAACATCACTTAGGGGTGGAATGCTGGATCTGCAATAAATAATTAATTAGTAGTGATAGCATTTATTAATAATGTACGAAAATCAGGACAGTTACAGAACTGAGGTAAATCTTGAAATTACCTTTTAGGATGATTTCTTTCTTCTTGAGCTACTCTGTTATAAGAATCCATGAGGAAATCTATTGCCAATTTAATAGGAGTTTCATTTTCAATTTTCTCTCTCATAATCAAAGCTGGAACTGGACATTGCATCTCGCTGGAACTCGGACTACTTTGCACCGGACTCACTGAGCCTGAGTGTAAGCTGTATGTATCGGTAATATCTTGATTGAGTGGCGTAATACTCGCAAACGGATCGTTCCCTTTCTTAATCATCGACAATATTTCCATAATGGCAGTCGATGTAAGATCTCGAATGCTTAATTGTGGAGTTTCTTTAACAAGCTCCGCAGACAGAGGGAGGAATACTCGTGTTGTGGACGTTCTAGTGAATGAGACTAGAAGTATTCGGGCAATTGTTTCTTGAAGTTGTTCTACATTTAATTCTGTTGAAGAAGAACTGGTGCGCTGTCGGTGGACGTCTTTCTTTAGCAGGTCTGATTCGTCAACCTGAAAGACAGGTGTTGACTAGAAAGAAATTATCTAAAATTAAACAAGTGCTGGCTTGGCAGAGATATAATGCAAAAACTGAACGATTTACCAAACCATACTTTGCACGTCAAATTATCACATGCAACAATAAACTTTTTAAATTGAACTCACACGTAATATTTTTAAGTTAGAAGTATGAACTTACTTCCATATTTTCAAATCCAGAATCTATATCGGTATTTCCGGCCAACTTATCAGCACATCCACTTACTTCATCCACTTCCATATGTATTGAACTTGTTTCCGAATCGCTTCTCACCGGAGGTGCTCTAGTTCTTTGTTTGGAACTTGATGGTAGTTGAATGTCTATAGGCTTCGAGGGCTCCTGATAAAAAAAAAACATAAGAAGCCTTATGAAAATTCTCTTCACTATTTAGCTACTCACTTTAAACACGCCCTCACTATCTGTTCGAACTTTTAAGTCCGAACCCAATGCTCCGAGACTATTATCTTTCTTCAGTCCCTGAGCTGCAACGGCACCAGGTGAGAAGAATTTATTATCCAATGAGTTTCCTTGAGAGTCGAATATAGGTGGACTTGGTCCTTGCGTGGTGGACATAGGCGATTGAGAAATCGGCGTGATGGGCGGAGATATGGAATTCGAGGGAGAACCATTTTCCAAAGCGGCCAGACGGGCCAAACGGCGTCGGCGAATCTAAAATATTTCCATTTTTTCTTACCAGAAGTACTATTGAAGAATGTGTGTTTCTTAAATACATCTGCTAACAGAGTTCAAGTTGCTTTGTTGAAGAGTTCACCATATTAATTAACGTTAACATAAATACCGGATATTTAATATAGATTTTTGCAATATTTAGTTTGCTTTGCTGGTTTATATGCAATCAGATTAAAATGATACTAATTGCTACTAAGTTTTGAAATAATCATGTGTTTCGACCAGATTTACAGACAATCAATTTTTAATATTATAAAATATTTTAACACCGCCATAAAGTGCAGATGGCTTCAATTTAAATAAAGTACTTTTAAATTAATACGGATCATTTTTGCAGCTTGCGAAGCTGAATGAAGGAATATGGAATTAACAAACAAACATATAAACTTTATGAAAGCCATATTCTTCAAATTTTGTTCCAAAATCAAACTAGTTGACTGTTTAGAAGTGTATCATTCACAATTATCTAGGAATAAAAATATATTTCAGGATAAACAAAAAACAATATCAGAAAGACTCAAGCGGTTGTGCCAGCAACATATCTGGACTTGACCGAGTTTTTGTGATGACATTGTTTTGATCTAAATTTTTGCTCCTCTGAGAATTTTTCGACACTGTATCTCCTTGCCAATACCATCTTAAATACAATTTATATTTATATTCAAAATTTATTGCCATTTAACACCGTTTTATCTGTATTTATAATGAAAGAAAAGCTTTCAAATGTGTTTTGCCTTGATTTATCGTGTGCACCGCTTAGATTATTTTCATATCCAGAGTGAATTTCTTGTTTTAATTGAACATTTTGAGCTTATTATAATGACAATGAAATATTTATTCGAGTTGTTGAACTAACTCAATGAAAAATACATTTGTCGGTCGGCTAACTTAGCTACTTATCTTTACAGTTAACAGCATTATAACCAATGATGGGTTTTCCTAATGAAGCTAATCAATACAGATTGTCTTTGCATAGCAACAAAAAAGCGTGTAATTGAATTACTTTCAAGAAGTACATGGGTACATAGTATTGGAACGACTGGCATTTAATTACAATAAATTGAGCATTTCCTACAGTACGACTGAAAACGGTTAAAGTACGTGCCAACGCAAATGTTCTTAATAATCAGCCGTATTAAGATAATCGAAATTCAAGCACATATTTGATTTATTAACTAGCGGCTAAGAAGGCAAGAGACAATTTGTAGACAAATTGGCGTGTTTGTGAGTCATTATAATTATCATCATCCAATTCAACATCAAACAAGAGGAATGAACTACATTCCAATGTTAAATGTTAAATGTTATCATGCAAACACAAGAAATTAATCTTGATCTATGATGCATGTTGGATGAACTGTCCGGTAGCTAATTAAGATGTATGAATCACGCAAGACTTAAAACAAATTGAAAATTAACTTTCACTTTATGGATTTTAATGTAACTTTGTCGCTAATTTTTAGGCTTGGGCTAGACTGCAAGATTGGCAACATCCAAATGAACTTGAATATAGCAATTGTCCACAATTGAGGCATGTGCTTGCTGAGCTGAGAGGTGTTAAAGTATAATTTATTTAAATAAAAACAAGACCTGCTACCTTATACGTTTGTTAGTTGATTTGATGGAAGAAAACACACAGATAAATGAGCACATGAAACTACGTGATGTACATTTAAGACGCTCCTTATTGAATCAATTGGGCAGTTCTTTGCAGTTTGCAGTGTATCTGCTGATAACAAACATTTTCCCCTTATTAGAACGCATTATAGAACATTATAGTTAACTTCGCAATGCTTATGAAAGAAATAGTCATGAAGCCTAGATGTTATCCTAACGCAATAATCCAAGGGCAGCATAACAATTGATTGAATACATAGATAGCAACAAAGAAACTTTGAAATTTTACTCTATAATAAATTTGTAGTGGTTTCTTACCTCCTCTTGGCTGAGCTCGCTCATTTTTTCTCGGATTCAGGTATTTTGTGGCTGATTACTTCTTAAACTGTGTTGGCAATTTGTCTAACAATAACCACAATTCCTGAAATAATCACAAAAAAATTTCCTGTCTGTGTTCGACGTCAAAACTAATGTCAGTCACCCCTTTTAACAGCTGAGATACTGATTGCCATTGGCCATTAGACTGCCTTTAATTTTGCAAATCACGTTTCCTTCTTTCACAGTGTTAGCGGCAACAATGCCCGATCATGTTTTCGTCGCTCTTTCCTTCACTCTACTGTTGTAGTTTTAATAATGCTGTTCTCGTTGCACTCGCTGTTATTCGGGCTGCACAGTTTTCCGATCTCTGTCACTTTCTACCGTATTGATTTTGCAACGCGTCCCGCTCTATCAATTCAGACGTGGGCAATCTCATGCGCAAGCTTTCAAGGTGTTTTTTCTTTGCGCCTTTATTTTGGGAAACAGGAAAAAAAGTCTGATCTATTTTCAAGTAACTGAACTTGGCCGCTAAAATCCTCTTTGTGTTTTCGCGGATATTTTCGGTTGGTTGAAGTACAGTTTATTGAAATGGAAATCCCATAAATGCCTCTTGAAAAAATGTAGATTAATCATTTTTTTGGGGAGATTTCTGAAAAATGCGCACTTTTTTACTTCAAACTGAAAAACACTTGACTAACTCCGTCATAAATTCGTAAAACAAGAACATGTTTTTGGCTGTATCGCTTCTGTAAGACCGGTTTCGGATCTATTAGTCCTCATCAGTTGGGCTTAGTTTGCAAAACTTATAAGGGTTTAAATAATGTTTAAAAAATAATAAATGGTGCTTTCGTATTACGAGTAAAAGTACAAATTTTTTAATGTGTTATTTGCAAGCTAATTAACTTAAGCCCAGCTTATGAGGACTAAACGGTTTGAAACCGAACTTAGGAGCGCAAAACAACTATTCTTATTTCACTAACTATATTGCGACAAATAAATAAAAATGTACCTACCTATTTTGCTGCTGTTCTTCACACAAAGTTTTTTGAAGATTTCAAAGATTTTTCTCACACTGTACTTTGATAAAATTTAAAAAAACCGCTAAAACTTACCGACTAAAATAAACCGACTATATCTGCGCTTTACCAATATTCCACATGTGGAAACATTTCAACTACAGGCAGCAAAGGTGAATTTTCCGCGTAGTTCAACGAATTGTAAATAAAAACATGTTTGTTTGGTCTCATACGTATCAGCATGTGCAAAGAGGTACGCGAATATATGTTTTCTAAACACGGCGATACAGATTGAAAATAAATGATTGAGCACATTTTTTGGAAACTGATCAAAAACTACCGTGGGGGGGGGGAGGTTCGAATAATTGGCTAGGAATTAATAGAAAACGTTTTTATGATATAAAAGTGAACCTGCAGATAATAGAAATAATTTTTATATACTTAGAAGAATAGAGTATAATAGTATAGAATGCTTTTGGGAATATGTACTTTCGACGCCAGATAGCATTTGACCTTCTATAACTATCTCAGAATGTTCAAAAAATATACAGAACATTGCGGGAATATCCTGGGAATATACATGGGTGGACATTCCTAACATGAATGTTCGTGGAATATACATGAATGTACATAAATGTACATATTGTGTATATGTGCAGGTGAATGTACCAAGTATGTTCAAAACAAATATTTCGGTAATATACATGAATGTATATCCACAGTATATTTAGTATAATTTATTTAGTTTTTACTACCAATTTGAGTAAGTCACCATTATTAGATGCTTTTCTGTAATGAGAATTCAGATTTCACTCCCTAGGTCAATAATAATGATAGAAAAATACTTTGGTAAATTATGAAAGATGGTTTAGTTTTTCATTATTTTAATTTTGCCGACCTCTCTAAGTTTTGCTACTTCGGTCGAGAAGCCTATTAAATACCTCTCGCTATATACAATTTAAATGTGTTCATTATATTACCTACAGCTTACTTCTTGCCTTAGAAACATAAAATACAATTTTATATATTTTCAGACTTAAATTCAAAAATAGTACGTGCTCTCAAATTATTTGCATTTTTTATTCTTATCCTGGTGTTAATTAAACCTTATTTATTTGGAAAAATTGTGGTTCTGAAAAGAACCGATTTGTGTTTGATTAAGTATGTTCAAGTTCCTACTTTAAGATAGGAAAAAATATACTCTTTTGTTGTGTTCAGCGATTATGCAGTTTTGGATTTAGGCAGAGATGGTCTACCGGTTTTTCGGTAGATCTACCGATTTGTCAAGGAACCTACCGATCTACCGATACCATGCAGATTTCTACCGAAAAATAACAAATAAAATTTTAAAAATTATCCGTGGATTACTTAAAATAAATTAACATATTTCAATTCTTGATCAAAGTACGTTGGTAATAGCAGACATTTTATTTTAGCACACCTCGTATTTTAGAGTTCTTTTCCAAACAGAAAATGAATCAAGCCCGTCATATAGATCATAAATATGATAAAATTTTGTTTTATGGATCATGCGATAGTGAAATCAGGTTCCCTACAATCTATTTCTGATGTTGCAATGATATTTCCAAATTTAATAACTGATAGTGAATTACAAGATCTGGACACAGAATGACGTCTGTTGCGAAATGTTGAAGAAATTAAAAACATTTCTGGAAATATTGAAGAGTTTTGGARCCAAGTACAAATMTTGAAATATGGAGGTGATACATTCATGTTTCCAATTTTAACCAATTTTATTTGTAACCTGCTTATTCTACCTCACTCATCAGCCAATGTTGAACGGATATTTTCACAGGTTAATCTAATGAAAACTAAGTTGAGAAATAAGCTTAAAACGAGTACAATTTCAACTTTACTTCTTTACTGACTCATGCTTATTTTAGTATTCCTGTAAGTTTAGAAATTCAAGTTTTGAAAAACGCGATTTTATGGAGTCTTTTTTTTTGGAGAGGTTTTGGACTACCCAACCAGCAGTTAATTTGGCAGTTGGAAAATATATACACCTGTATAAATGAAGATCCGTTTATTCGCGTGGTCAACTACCGATGGTGGCGCTGCGAAACGTCAAATTACTCGTGGTCGAGTGACAGTTGAGACCTGTCAGATTGGTTTATTTATTGGAGTTGATGACATCTATAACATAAAACTATATTTACACACTTTTCGATCTGTTTCTATTTCTTTAAAAGCTTGCAAAAGTTGATTAGAACGAAACAAATCACAAACACCAATGTGACAGCAATGTTAATTAACATGTAATTATAATTTTAGCCACCAGGAGGCGTTTGGATTTTTGAACCCGTTGAAGTGCCGTTAATGTCAAAACTCTACATTTCTCATTTATATACATGAGGATAAAAGAGACTAGGCAATAGTAAATATCCTACAAGAACAAAAAAGTAATATTTCCAAGCAGAAAAGTTTCGCAAGTAAAATGCGTGCGAAAAAGTGGTTTGGAACATTAACATTTTATATCCCAAATCTATCAGCTACCAATTTTATCAGAGATAATTGACTTTTCCGATTATCTACACGAATATGAGCTTATCTTGAATATTAGTGTCACAGATGAAGATAAGTGTGTAATGACTAAAGATTACAGATAAATAAATTCCGAGTAATGTTGATGGATTCTGCGTAAATCGAAGGTCAAGTTGTGTGGCGGGTTCTAGAAAGTTCATTTTCTGAGCAACCGGCAACCGGTGTAACCTCCACTCAACCGCCATTTGCTTATTGTTCGTAGAACTGTTTGGTTGGTTGGCAGCAGTGTAGCTCTACCCATTAACGTCAGTCAGTTACATTTTTGCCGGTGTTCACAGTCCAAGTTTCCAGGTGTTAAATTCACAATTTTAGGTAAGTTTTACGTTGTTTGTTACTGTTTAAATGTATTTCCGGCCTAATGAATCATCTGGCTGGGTTTTCGTTCATAACAGCGTATTGAAGCCACGTTTCTCGTCTGCATTTCCACCTCTTAGGTGGGAATACTACTGCTCTTTCACCTGTAGTTGAGGCGTACTTTTAAGTCCTCTTACTTGAAATTGCGTTTCAATAGTTTTTGCTATTAAACGATGGTCACATGTTGCAAAACTGTCAAATCTAATTTACGTTTTGCAATATCTTGCAATTTGACCAATGGCGTCATGTCTTCATACCTCGAAGGGTCCCCTCTCCATACCGATATTTTACTCTGCAGGATACGCATGTTCTTCGATATTTTTACAGCATTTCTTCGCCGTTTAATCTTCCAGTGTTCTTATAAAAAAAACTATCAAACTTCTACATATTTCACTTGCGAGTTTTTCTCTAGGATTTTGCTTGTGGATTCGTTGAATTCCACTTTTTCAGTTGGAATCGAGTTTATGGTCTTATTTTTAATATAGTAGCCTTTAAATCGGAACAATTTGTCCTGCAACGAACTATCCCTCCCATAACCGGACACAGTTCTGCCAGTCATGTTCGCTTATCGTATATGTTCGCCTAATAGAAGGTTTAATAATAAAATCCGTTTAAGAGAGTACTTCGCACAGCAGTTCAGTACAAATGCATACTGCTATGATCTAATATTCACTGTAGATGTTCGATTTCTTCTCCATTTTGCTCACCTTCAATTTGCTAAGTTCTAAGCCGCATAGTGTGTATTACAGCTAATCGGCTCTTCTGCTGTGATAAACTGAATTCACATATAATTTTTTTTTCACTTTTTTAGAAGAGTTAGTAAGAAGTACATAGGTATTTTTTTAGAAGAACCAACAGTGTTGCATGAAGATTTTTTGTGTATTTGTCTTCGGAAATTTATTTATCTTTCTGCTGTACAAGTAAGGACACTAATTTGTTCATATCTTGCATTTTTTAAGTTACATCATGTAATGTTTTGAGCTAGGTACATTGCGTAAAGGTTTTGTTAGTTATAATATGGTTAATTAATCAAGAAAATAATGGATTATCTTATTCAGTACTGCACCAAACTAATTTCACATAACCTTTATAAAACCGTCTGAGAAAGGCCATCCAGGAAGCGTTCTAAAATATCTAGCCTTATCTGCCTCTGAAATTAAAGCTTCTATCTTCTTTCACGATCTTTGATTGTACATATTAAGTCCGCGAATTCTGAAAGTTGAAAAGCAATCACCCTGAATTTCTATTTCTTTTTCTGATACTGTTGCTGTTAAAAAGTTGTTAAACTTCAACTAATATTATTTTACATTTTTTCCATAACACGTATAACAGATAAATCGTGACACAAAGCTTTTTCTCGCTATACATAGCATAGTGCTTTTAATCAAAAAGGAAATTTTCAAAAAAGTCCGTTTCAAAAACCGAATTACATACCAAGCCCTAATATTTAGATTTCTATGATTGTTGAGATTCTTACTTCAGATTGACTATCTTGATCACATTTTCATAAGGTCCCTCTATTTGCAAGAAAAAGTCATTTTCTTGAAATACCTATGTATTTTGTCATGGAATTTGCTAATAGGGAATAAAGTTAAAAATGAACAAGTTGTGTATATAACATTTTTTTAAATTTTGCAAACGTTTTGTTTAAATATGAGTTCTAATTCACACCAAATTAAAACATTTTTTTAAACCACGGTTACAGAATTAATTCAGGGCCACATCGTATGCATGAATAAAACATTTTATTTTTGCCGTAGTAAGTTGTTGAATTTTGTCTAATTACAATACAAATTTATCTATTATTGCTAAATCATTGCACTACATACATAATATGGTGACTTGACGCGTTCTAATCATCTTTGTTTTATCTACAATTGATACATTCTGAATATTGAATTTGCCGATTTTCTACCCAACTAAAAATTATCTGATTACGTAATACATTTTTAGAGTTGTTAAGATATGCAGTTGAAACAGCTGCCCTCGATCAGCATATGTGCCTCAAACATTGCGTTAAAGGTGCATTTATTTCATCTTTCATTCAGTTCCATATTTAAATGCACGTTCTCCATGGACCGGTTTTAAGAAACATTTTACCTGAAAATGCAGCTGCTCATACCTTTCGCCTTGTGTTTGCGCCAAGATATGAATGGCTTTAGAAAGAATTGCTTTACGTAATATCACTGAGTAAAAAGACCATTGATAAATTTCAACTTTTACAATGTGTATTTGTTTCTGTTGTAAAACTAAGATTCATAAATTTTTTGCGGTTTAATTGATATACATTCGCTAAGGATCCTATTTAATAAAATTCAACCCTGGTAAGAACTAATAAACAATGAATCGCAAAAAGCTAATTAGATTAGTTACTGATCACGAACCATTAAATTTGCATTGTGGTTTGTGTTTATAGCACCCAATCTCCGTAATTGTGATTTAAATTTTCAATGTGCATTGATTTATAATTCCATTAAATGAATGGTAATTCATCAGTTTTGTACTGAACTCCTACCTATATTTCGAGCTGAATTATTAATTTTAGAACACGCTAACACACTCGTAGGTATATGGATTTTGGAAATACACCAACTAGGTGTCGAGTAATAGTAATACTTAAAAAAATATAAGGTATTATTTAATCCCCTAGAAATTATTACGAGACCGTCTAGGGTTTATTGTTGTATCATAATAAATAACGATATCAGTAACTTAAGTAAACATGTATATCCTTTTTTGAAGTAATCGCAATTGAAGCCAATGCCCCAGTTTTATTTAACACATCAAGGAAAATCATATTTTAAAAAATACGGCTTTGCAATAGCACTCGTTTTCTTTATTTTAAATTATTTTGGCCGCAGTTAAAGTCGTTTGAGGCCCAAGTATGCTTGCAGATAAGTATGTTAATGTAGGTATCAGGTTTAAGGTCAACAATTCGAATTTGAAAGTCATTGTGCAGTAGTTAACCACGGGCTAAGCCTTGACTCATAAAATAATAGTTGCCTCAGGAAAACCCCACTAAATAACAAATTTAATTATGTCTTCTAAATATGTTCTAATTTTTGTGGGGTTCGTGAGTATTTTCCTTTGCATATGCAAACATCCATATTTTTATGCGTGTTTAAAGCTATGTAAACATTAGAATACGATTAGTACATTTTTATACAAACATTTGTGAAAGAAAATTACAGTGCTGCGCTGTTTAAATTTTTGCTTAATTCTCAAGCCATCAATTTGAGCTTTACATCTTTCAGACCATTATGCAGCCAATTTTTAACATATTTTCCAATTAGTTAACTTGTGGATTTTTTTGATAGCAAGGGCTAAAAATAACGTTGTTTATCACATGAATACAATTCAGACATATAACAACAATAATTAGAAATGACTGAACGAACTCTTGCAATGATGTTCACATGATGATTACTATCCAAGGTTTCGCAAACTATTGTATGAAATGCAATGATTCGAGTCTTGGCAGCCTGAATTTACTTTCTCTTAGGAACCACATTCGAAATATGAAGCGAAATCGTTTTATCAATTAGTTTCATCTATTTCAGATCTAAAAATGTCTCCTGCACTTCAGAAACCAGCACCTTCCTTCAAAGGAACCGCCGTTGTTGATGGCCAGTTCAAGGATATCAGTCTAGAAGATTACAAAGGTATTAAAAATGTTTTTATGATAAACTTGTAAAAAGCTAAATCATTCGACATTTATTTGATGTTACTTTGTTTACTTTTAGGACAATATGTTGTGCTGTTTTTCTACCCTCTTGATTTCACCTTTGTTTGCCCTACCGAAATCATTGCCTTTTCTGACCGTATTGAGGAATTCAAGAAGATAAAAACCGCCGTTATCGGGTAAGTTCATTTTACTGTATAGGCAACTTTGTTTGCCTGTAGTTTTTTTAAAATCAATGGTATTTATCAATTGTTAATGAAAACGCCGTTTATAACTTAATCACATCTCAACTATAAAGTGCGATACCACGAATAAACAAGAATTTTTTTTGAAACAAAACTTTTGAGAATGCAGAATTCGAGGTCCAAAACTCATTTGAAGTCATGGGGAACCTAGAATTTAATATATTACCTGTGGAAGTTTGTTGGGAGCTTTGCAATACATTCAGTTTCAATTTGATGTAGGTGTTGTTTATTTGTATGTGTGTATTGTTGTACAGGGTGTCCCGTAAGCACATATCCGTAATGCACATGTAAAAAATGTCCTCCACTATTGATGGTCAAAGTTCTTCAAAAAAATTAATTTTTTTTGAAATATCGGGAGAATGGTACTATGTATTTTGGTGAAACTCGCTGTGAATTTGTTCTTATGTAAGACTCATATTTTGATGAAACAATCGATTTTAGCCGTTTTGGACAAGTGGCGAATTCTTGAGTGGCGTGGTACAAAGACTACTAGAACTTTTTATTTGGTTGCTGGAATCAATTCATTTTTTTTGTTGATTCATTGTTTGCATTCATAGTTTTTGCGCAAAAAAATATGTCTGTTTTCTAGCCACTTGCTAGACATTAACTGTAAATATGCGCCGCGTAAACGCGTACGCTTTCACGCAAGTTGTCTTCGCAAAACCCTAATACTTTGACCATGTCGATGTCGTGTTGACCACTTCTTAATTAATTTATGCCTCGTATCACGATATTTGCAGTTAATGTCTAACATTGTTAAGTGGCAAGAAAACAGAAATCTTTTTTTTCGCAAATACTATGGATGGTACAAGATTTTACAAAGCGCACAAAATCGTGAATAGATGATTACTGCATCAACCAAAAAAAAAAGTTGATTTTATCCACTAAATAAAAAGTTTTGCTAGTTTTTGTAGCACGACAATCAATAATTCACCACTTGTCCAAAATGGATGAGCTCGATTGTTTCATCAAAATATGAACCTTACATAAGAACACATTCACAGCGAGTTTCACCAAAATACATCGGACCATTCTCCCGATATTTCAAAAAAGATAAATGTTTTGAAGAACTCTGACCATCAATAGCAGAGGAGCCAGACATTTTTTGTTAATAAAAGTTAGGACAGATCGTCTTCTTTTGATGCAAATAATATCCCAGTATCTTTTTGATCATGTGCTTACGGGACACCCTGTATATTCCATGAGAAAAACTTCCGTTTGGTGGGGCATGTAGAACAGCTACTAGCTTTCCTTAATCTATGTTTTTCTATTCATTAATGTAGTACCGAATGGGGTAGGTTTTTCAATAGAAACTTTATTTTAAGAGCTTCTACTGACAGCCACTTCTCCCATTTGGCATGGATTAATACCCCCCGCAAACAGGGAGGATTGGGGTCAATGAACATCCCCCTATTGGCCGACAAAAATTTAGAAATAGCCCGCTCCTATGGAGTATTGGACGAGTCCACTGGCATTGCCTTCCGTGGATTGTTCATCATTGATCCAAAAGGAATTCTTCGTCAAGTGACCATCAATGATTTGCCTGTAGGCCGGTCCGTTGACGAAACTCTGCGTCTTGTACAGGCTTTCCAATTCACTGACGAACATGGAGAGGTCTGCCCTGCTGGATGGACTCCTGGCAAGAAAACCATCAAGCCTCAAGTGGATGCCAGCAAGGAGTTTTTCAGCTCAACTAACTAAGAGCAAAAATACTTGCGTGGTGCATCAAGTTAAATTGAGTTAAGATTACACTTTCCAAATAAACGTCCGAAATATGCTCGATTCCAGTTAAATAACGTGAATAGGCAGGGCGTTCGCCTCAATATAGAGGTGGTCTTTAGATAAGTTACAACTAAGCTCATTTTTGATAAAAACACTGAACCCGTTTCCTTTATTTTGTTTTGTTTGTGTTACAACCTTTTGTTATGTAAGCCATATACCTATATTATTAAACCATTAAATTACTTTATTGTCATTCAAATCTGGTGTTTTTATACCCTTTTCGCAAGGAAAAAACAACTAGATTATTGCACGTTTTTTCAAAGCGCATTCGGCCTTTTAAAATAAGATGGTCGAAATATTTATTTACTAGTGTCGAAATTTCCAATCTTCTGTATCAATTTTGCCATTAAGCTGTTTTTAATTTTTGCTTGCTGCAAAAGTTCGCCCTGCTTCTCAAGCTTTTTCCTTTTGATTTCCATTTTCTCCTCTTCCCTTTTATCTAAAGAGGTTAACGTAATTAGAAGTTGCTCATGAGTTGCATTATTCGCCTTCAGTAGCTGTGCATTATGGTCCAAGCTCCTTTTCATAGCCTTTCTGAGCTCTCGCACTTCTGTAATAAACTCACTATCTTCGTTATTAGAACTCTGCCAAGTTTCCTCATGGCAGGGTTGCTGTGCATCATTATCGTCATTTTCAGGCGATAAACATTCGTCTTCATTGAGTATCTCTACTTTGGAGGCATTAACTGCATTTATGCTATCCGTATCTTGTAACACCAATTCAACTAAGTTTTCATAGCTCGTTGAATAGCCCTGTTCGTTTGGATCAGCATAGTCTTCAATGCTTTCTGCCCTGTCCTCATCATCATTCAGACTCATTTTTATTTCATCAGGTTTTTGGGCGAATCCCGGAGGGATGTTTAAGTTGACCTTTGATAATTCATCAGATTCTTGTTGGAATGAAGGCTTTTCGGCACTGATGATTGCCAATATTTGTCTGGAAAACATTGCTATGTTAATAGAAGATTACTTTTATTAGTCAATTGTTTGTACATATTCTATTTAAAAAATGTGTTCCAATTTTAATAACTAAACCCGTGTGTTAAAAAAACCATTTTTTTTATAATACATAAACGTGCATAATAAGATCAGAACAGTGATTAGCTTATATGAACTAGTAAACAATAAACTTACTCATCAAACGGTGAACTTTTCAGAACTTCTCCTGTTAGTAGTCTGTTATGTACAGACATGTATCGTCTTTTCGATGATTTCCATTTGTTCTCGCACTGAGCTGATGTATATTTAAAACCTTTCGATCTCAAGTATACCGAACAATTATCGAAAACTTGTCGTTTTGATCCTATTTTCCTTTGGACGAATAGCTGCGTTTGCTTTAGTAACACTTTGAATAAAGCTTTGACAGCTGGGACCGTCCACTCAGTAAGAGCCGACCTGTGGGCTGAAATTGCAAAATTAAACAATAATCGACCCATTTTTGTATAACAAATTTGTTTCATTACATGAGTTTGTGTTGAAGCTAAAACGTTAATTGGTAAAAGAACTTTGTATTTCAGTCAAATAGCTCCAAAAGAAAAACACTTACTTGGGCGAACGTTCTAGCTAGATTTTTATCCATCTTCAGGGCTCTTAATAGGGAAACGGAATGGCTATAGTCTTAAGTAAAAAATGTTTTAGTTTTTAATATAAATTAAAAGAGTAAACCGGTACAAATTTAAAAGCAAATAATGAAGACAGAGGAGAAGCGCAATATTGTTTAACGGTAATTTAAAAACATATTCCACAGTCAACACTCAAAGAAGTAAAAGTCAATAATTAATATTTGGTATCGTATCCTAGAAATACACCAGAAATTTAGTTTTTTATCATGTTTTTTATTTTACTTTTGTATCGATCGGTTTCCTTTTATGCTGATTTCTATTTTGTATTGATAGGAAAATATTTCATACATAAGACTGATCTAGTCTTTTCCTGATTATGTATAAAGTGGTATTTTTGCCCATATTTGTCCGAAAATTGCAGTAATATCACAGAATATCTTCTACCAATTAATATCAGTCATTACCAAATTACAACTAAAATTTTCTTATTCTCCTTTTTGTCCGCGGAGTATATTTTGATCTGCGGTATACAGGGTGTTAGAAAATATTCGGTCGACAAAAATTGGTTATAAAAGTGCTGGATCACCTTGAGGCGAGAAATATTGAGATGGTGTTATCGAAAAATCTTCTAAACGGTTTGATCAAAATGCCCTTATGAGTTTAAGAAAAGAATTATATATTTCAGTGTTCTTAAATTTTTTTTTGGGAATGCAATTTTTTGTGGTCAGATAATTTACAGAATTTAGTTAGCAGAATCACTTCCTACGTGAGTATTTTCTCACTTTTTTCCTCATTCTAACACAACTGTATGATTGAAGATCTGGTAAAGCGCTCGTCGGTCGCAACAAAACCAAATAAAAATCTTTCAGACATTTTCGACGAAACTTCATGCAGAAAGTTGATAAAAACCATTAAATACATTTTTCTAAATAGTAAATTCGGGAGTCTTTGCGCATCATGCAACAAATAAAATTAATATAAAAAAATAAGCGAAAATAATTATTACCCAATATGTAAACCTGAACTGAGAAAGCATATTAGCTGATAGGATGCTGCGTCGAATTTTCACCTGTGCTTGTAAATACCGTAAATAAAATAAATTTTTTGAGATCCAAAAATGGCCACATAATCATCGTATTAAATTTATAAAGTATGAGTAGAGTATAAACGAAAACATTCAGAATTCGTTGATATGCTTACGCTTTTTTATATTAAGTTATAACTTGCCTGATGTAATATAAATAACGCCTGGCTCCGTGAAATCAATGTATTCATCTTCAGTAGTCATTACTATTTATATATGTAGGAATAATTTAATTAAAAGTTGCGAATTCTGCTCTAATCACACGGAGCACTATTCGCTCCCGCACTTTGTTATTCGGAGTACGTTTCTGCTCGAACATCCGAACTATTCACCTTGCTCATGAGAACCAGATGAGGAACATGGCGGCCATTCCGAACCGAACTGAGAAAGGCTCAACAATGTTGCCGGTGCACTCAATTGTTCAGTGTGTAGGAATAATTTTCAGGGCTTTTTATCACTTGTTTTATTTTCATTTTGTTATATTAACATTGTTGGCGAAATTCAGAGAAAACAACGAAGAATCTACTATTTTTTTCAAACATAAATGTTCTGTTTGATTATAATATTTATCTACTCATTTGGCCAACGGGTTTTTTTTTTGGACATTCTTGGACTCATGCGATTAGAATTGTAGATTTGCTCATAATTATGTATTTACATTTACTAACCTGTGAAGGGCGCTAAAAGTCCTCAGATTAATATCTAGTATAATTTATAGATAAGTTCTATATTGTTGAGGTGGATTCATTTTTTTATAAACTTCTTGTTGGGTAAATTAATTAATCTTCTTTTGAGGCGAAATACCCAACAAGAAGTTTGTAAAAAAATAGTATAATTTATACTGTTTATAGTTCAAGAATAGGTATTTGAATATTCAAATTAAGGCGGCACGAGTATATTTTTTTTAAATAACAATTTCTTACTCAAAGTAATTTGAAGTTGCGATTTTCTGCTGTTATTGACAACACCGTGGCTCTAAATGCAAGCGAGAATCAAGGTCGCCAACATAAAGCATCTCGGCACCCCCATGACAACTCAATGGGATAGCCTTGACCACAAAATTAGTTCCGTAAATAAATGCAAGAGGCGCGTTGTTGGCGGGAAGAAAAATGAAACTCGTCAATTGTCAGAGGGTTCAAGAGGTGTTCTGTGCATCTCGGCCTTATGTTGTCATTATTAAATACATTTTTGTAAAAATGTTAGTGGCCAATGTTCGTTTGCATACAATTCACATTTTGTTAGTAGTGCCTGTACTATTATTTTGTTCGTAATTTAGATGATTGAAGCGGTTTAAATTGTGTTTGTGCGCAAGCGCGAAATCTAGCTGAAGCCCACAGAACACCTCTGAACAAGAAGTGACAACTCCATGCAAACTCCCGCGATCGCTTATGCGCGCCCTCTGCCAGTTGTTTACGTCCCTAATTAAAAAAAAGCGGAAATTTCGATTCACGAATATCAATATGATTGTAACTTCGAGGAATTTCTAATTCGTAGCAAGGTAAATGTTTGCCCAGCTACATTCAAAATCACTGAACTTGTAACAGAGATCTCTAATATGATGTAACGCTGGCAAACACAAACCTGATACTGACCTAGAAAGAAAATGGAAACATGTAGGTATATGCATTGACGTTGTTAGAAGAAGAACACCGTCACAAATGATAAAAATATTTATTATAGCAGAAACAAGAAAAACACAGTCATAAATTATAAACGTATTTATAATTACAGATATAGGAACGAACAAGGGACACCCTATAAATGATCAACATATTAAACAGGAACAGGACAAACAGAGATATAAATGCTAAACAAGTAAAAATAAATTTCTATAAAATAATAATCCAAAACTATTTATACAATTTTGGGTGCAAATTTTGTCAATTTGGGTGCAAATGTCTTGATCCACTTTCGGCTATCTTTCTGGCTTAATTTTCAAATTTTTAGAAGCACAATATATTTTGACATAATATAAATAATACATTCCGAAACTGCCGTATTATTATATTTGTCACGCAAAGGGTAACAAATTATTGAAATGTTTAAGAATTCCATTAAAATACTATATAAATCACCTTTTTCCAAAACATTAAAAAATGTTGAAAAACAAGTCTTTTGTTGACATTAACAATTTTGACTAAATCAGGAGACGGATATATTAAAGAACTACCAGAAAAATGTTTTAAATGAATGATGTCCGCAACTTAGCAGCGAAGAAAGGAATTAATAAAAAAAGGCATAATGACGAAATGGGGATGAAAAAGGAAAAAATGATGCAATTCTCGGGAAACAGGAAGGGTAGTAATGTAGCTTAAATAGAAATATGTATTTGAGAAAGATATAGGTAAAATAGCTAGTACCTTTCTTCATTGTATATCACCGAATTGGACATTTGAAAGTTAAACAAGGAGCAGGAAAAAGAAGTTCAAGAATTTAAACAAGAATGCAGTACTGAAGTGGATAATGAATTAAACCATCAGGTAATGGAAGAAATAAAAGTAAAAATTGGAAGAAAAAAAACGGATCTTACGACTATGTGAAATGAGAGAAACTGATGATAATTAAGAAATCCTTGCGTGTGATTAGCTGAGGTTGGTTAAATAAAATAGTTATTTATCTTTTAACTTATCTAACATTTTTTTGCCGGAGCTGACACATTCCTAGAGAGGACTAAGAAAGAGGTTTAATGGATAAGTCCGGAAACCTCGTATTACCAAAATGGGGGCTTTTTAGTTGGTAATAATCTAACGCTATACAGGGTCTCAGAATACTGGGTGTATTCGTGAAGATTTTTTATTCCATCAGCCACCGGACAATAAAAAAAAAATATTCAGACATCACACAATCCAGCGCGCTCCAATACAGCTTTCCAGATGCAGGGTGCAAAGTTACCATTTTATTTTAATTTTTTTTGATAACTTTTAAACATTTTCAAAAACATTGTAATATTAAACCGATTAATCCGAAGTATTTGCTTTCTATTTCCGACTTGTTGCACACAATGATGACGATCTTTTTACGATTTAAAAGTAATTAATCAAATTCAAAAATTTAAACGCACTGAAAAGGACTGAAAACGTACTGAAAATTACAATTTGTATACGTATTGCTTAAAAAATGTTATTGACTCTGTCTGTATGTGCGCAAGTAACATAAAAATTCGTACATTTGTCTAATAAAAAAACATTGTAAAATAAACAGTTAACATTCAATTTAAATCAATTTTTCGAGACGCCCTTATAGACGTTTGGGATTGTAAATCAACCTTAATGTTGTCACCCCGAATGACAGTAAAGTAAGAAAAAATACGTGTCACCTGTAAAGTTTTTTTGAAATTGTGAGCATTTTGATTACAAAAAAAAAGTTTTTTAAAATAATGTTATGCGAACTGATATCTGGAACGTATTATATAAAACGGGCAAGTGCGCGAATATAGTACATGGTTAAAGTGTGTTTTTCAAGTGTTACGCTATGAAAAAAATTGAAAACCAACGTCCAGGAAAAGTAAGTAGATACAATTATTAATTAAAATCGATTTTGGAACAAAAATGACAAAGAGTTCTGTAAATTAGTTTATAAATAACAGACAAAGCGAATGGTAAAAACAATATACTGCAAAATAATATAGCTTAATATTTATAATCAAAGCTTGCACTTATATGGACAAGATTTATATACAATACAATATATATTTAATTTGTCGGTCTGGAACATTTTCATTTAATTTCTGATGAAGTTGAATTTAATATGGACATATGTACATATTCTGTGTAATTTTTAAACTTTTTCTATGGATACTGCTGATAATCCAGTTAAAGCATCTAGTTTAACTTCATGCTAGATACTTAGACAATGTTTGATCGATTCAGGGCAAAATCTTAACGTAGGTAATATTAAAGTTCGTTCCAGGATTTCGCTGGCGAAATATTTAAGCGGTTTGTAAAAGACATCTTTCTTGAGATTTCTCAACACCGTAAATAAAAACTATTTCTTCCCGTTCAATAATTGAATAATCCAAGTTTCGATAGTAAATTTACAGGACGAAGCACAAAGTGAGACACAAATAATAGACAAATTTCAAAGCTTGCTGCATGCATAAACATTTATAAATGACAAGAAACTTATAAAAGATGAATATTCTTTGAACTCTTGCATGGAATTTAGCGGGCAACAATATGCTTTAATGCTGGAATTGACAAATTCTTGGTATCATTGAATAGCGTGGGGAAAATTAGTTGGGACGCCTAGGATGCATTTGGTCATTTTCAAAAAAAAACACTCCTAGTTTTTAGTAGGTGATTTCTTTGCTTGTATATGTTTAGACATACATAAATATATAAGTGGTATTCAAACATAAAAAAATTAAACATACGTTCGCATTTTCGAATAATTTTATGACAAAATTGCGAAATCATTTGGGATATTTTTAATTAAAGGCAATTATTAAATTTTCCAAAAAAGACAACAAATTTCCAGCAAACAACAAAGTGAAAATATGCCTGGAAAATGATTGTAAGTAACAGATAATAATTGCAGCCCAGTCACAGCGTAACAATCAGCGTTTAGTGTTCTTGTTAAGCGAATGGGTTTTTGTACAACCCCTTCGGTATAAGCATATAAATGTTTTGATCTCGTTGAACCATCATTTAATTAAGTATGAAATTCCGCTATATCATCGTCTCTTCGAGGTTGTCGGATTCAAAACGATTTTACAGAGATTAACTCTGTCTACTGCATGAACAAATCGGTCGTACATTTTTACTGATACATAGCGATAGAAATTAATGTTTTTTGCTGGCCATTTTATATAAATCTCTTAAGTATTTAATGCACATCACGAGACTCAGTCACTGTTTGAAATTATTTAGACAACGTATTTTTGTTGAACTGCCAATCGGTCTATAATGTGAGTAAATATAGCTAATAAATCCTTATTAAACGGATTAATTGTGAATCGTGGTTGAATTAAAAATTTCTTTCCATTTAAATATGCATGCAATTATTTGATTAAATCTGACATTTTAATTATAACTTTTAAAGTTTTGCAAAAGTTCTTAGCTGTATCCTTCAACGAACAGATCAACTTGAATTGGACACGACAGCTATTTTGAAAATACTTTTATGTACTAAATCCAGCTATTAATTAATTATGAATCAGACTCATCATAAATTGCCAACAAGAAATTCAGGCAGATATTTGTTTTCCATTTATTATTTTAAACTACATTAAAAGTTTAATTTAATCAGTTGTGATTATGAGAAAGGTATTTCTTCTAATCTAAGTAATGGGTATCATGTTTGTGAGTGAGTTTTTTGAACTTTAAGGCATTTAATAGGATTCTCTATATTTCTTCAAAAACGTTAGTTTTCTTCAATACACAGACTAACAAACAATGTTTGAACATGTTTTATTGTTTGCTACTTATATTATTTTAATCGTTAATTTTATATTCTTACTTGGAGCATGGGGGCAACAAAACTGATCACTTTCTATAACTTATTAGCTAAGCTCTCCTTCTTTGTAGTAAATGTCTTGATTATCCAAGAGACAAATTGCTAATGAATAAAACGCAAATCTAAATCAATTGTATTATCTTTATTCAGTATCCAATATATATTATTTCCAGTCAGTTTTATTACTTTGATATCTCTTTCTTACCTACTATTTGGGGCAATATATATTATTTATACAATAAATTACGTTATTTGCAAACAGTACAAAACTAGTTACTTTAAAATATACATACTGCTAAGGTAGTAACCCTTAATATGTAGGCAGTGGAACTTATTTTTCCATCATTCATTCATCAGAATGTTTCTCTATTCAAATTCTTTACACATGGTTTTTAGGCCTTATTAACTATCCGGGTTCTAAGTGATTTAGTTAAATGCTATTGAAAATTTAAAAAATTCGCAATAAAAACGAAGATTCGAAAAAACGAGCGTTTCTATCAATATGGTTTTGAAAAAAAAAGTTGTATCAATAAGGCAAACTAATCCCCTTTCGGACGAAATTAAATAACGAATTTGCAATAACGATCTATTATTAAACTATATTTACGTGTTTTTTACGAGACGTAATCGACATGGAATGAATTTGAATTGAACCCAATCGAGAGAATCGAACGAACATCCTATTACATGTGTAGCTTGTTCTTCACGTTTCAAGATATTCTCCCGTTATGTAATTCCAATTTTTCCATTTATATTCCATGTGCTGAATTTTCGGCTAATTAGGAATTCGACACCAGCACGCTGCTGTAACTTACAAAACACATTCTCACGATTAAACATTCAAATTAACTATTAACTAACAGTATCTCATATACGCTGCCGCTCATATTAAATCTAATGATGAAAAGATGAACTTAACTAAACTGAATCCTTTACATTGACTTTTAATGTTCTTATATAAGATTTCTTTAGAAGGTATATAATATGGAAGACATACCAATGTGCTGAGTATAACATTTGTCTCAGTTAATTTTTCTTAAATGTTTGTTTATAAACATATATCTGATCTGATGAGTGAAAGTTAGTGAATATATGAAGATGATAAGTTATGTGCATTCTCTACAAGGCAAACTTGAAATTTTCTAATTGAGCTATAAAATATCTATTAATTATTAACAATCCCTGCAAGAAAGATAATTAGTAATCAGTAAGTTTGTTTTGTATTTATAATATTGGTTTATTGAAGCTAATAAACTTAGTTCTAGGAATGACTTCCATTTAATAAATACCTATAATATAAGACTACAATTCATTAATTCAAGGCATCTAGTCGAATATATACTTTTATGAATTTTGCACTACTAATCCCGGATGATGTTTTCGAAGCATTTAAACTACCCTACTCAATCCATTATCTACCATGACGAGAATAAAAAAGCGCATTTTCACCAAATGTCCATAAAATTCCCATCACAATTTAAGGATATAGATTCTGCAGAACGTCCCCATACAGCGAGTTATATGAGTCCCTTAACACGAAAATGTCCTCGGGACGTCCATTGAACGTAAACTGTCCAGGCAGCCGGTGAATAGTCGAATCGGGTTTCATGGGTTTTTTTACGGGTTTGGGTTTGGGCTTGGGGGTGGTTGGTTTTGGAGGTGGCGCTGCTGTTGGTATGTCAATACCACCGGTCCATTGGTAGATACCATTGGGCTTTCCATTCGATACAAAACTGACTGGTATATTAACAAATTGAGACATTGGGTTTGGTGGCGGTTGAGACATATATCCCAAACCTGTAACATTCGAAAATTTTCAATATTTTCACTGTGTTCCAAAGGCTATCTTCAATTAGTAGGCTATTTAGAAATGTATTTGAGCAACTTGTTCCACTGAAGTATTTTGTTATTTTGTATCATTTTCAATATAGTAGTAGTTCAGTGTCCTAAAAGTACAGTAAGTAATTTAACTAAAATTCTAATTGGCGTTAAACATCATTCGCTCATTTAGTGCTAGTTTTGAAATTTTATTGCGTCGAAATGACGCAGTTATCCCCTTTCTAGCTAAACTATTATATTTGCCTTCCTTTCATCAAGAATGAAACTAATTAAAAAATCACTGTTTTAAAAGTGGAACACATAGATATTAGTAAACAATACATAATTAATAAATTATTTAAAAATATTTAGATCGTGGCTGCTGAAGATCTCAAGTGGAATATTCAACAAACTTTCACAGAAAATAAAAGCAGATGCTTACCTGGCACAAACACGTAAGGTTGAGGAGGCAATCGAATATAATAGATTGGTGAATTGTATTGGGGGTTTCTTATCCGTTTTCTTTTTGGTATCGTTCGACTTAGTTCGTTTTCTTCCACATCTTCATAGTCGCCATTATCAACCCCATAATTTTCGAAGTCAACTTCGGGTTGAATGTAGTCGAAAAATGCCAGGTTTTTCCCCTGTCGTTCCATACTTTTCGATCGGAATGTTGGAGCGGAAATCGCGAAATTTATGAGTAGAATTGATATTAGGAAAAATGATGTCTGCACCGTTGGTACCATCTGAAATAAAGGAAAAATATGGTCAATTGAGGGTATATTTAATTAGTATGTCATCATAAAACCGCTGAAATGGGGAGTAGGCAGGCGAAGTTATCCGGTCATAGTAAAAAGCGTCAATGGGAAATTGATCGTGCTTAATCTGTGTTAATAATCTTAATGGAGAAATATGTGAAAAACGATTTCGTGACCAAGTCATTATAAGTAGGTAGTAGGAAAATAAAATTGGCAAATAAAACGGGATGTATATAAAATAATCCGGAAAATACACCACCTAAAAGTAAAACTTTTATCGCATGAATGCATTTTCCATAGATCAACCCATAATACGATTATATCAAATTTTTATAAGCTATATATTTTTTTATTGCACGGTTAAATCAAATCATAAACTGGTGATCTTCAGTTCGGATCATGTTTCATTTACTTACTTACACCTCGACAGCATTTTAATTCCAGTGGTTTTTCTGGTTGATGGAGTTGACGTGAAAACATTTATCATTTCATTAAAACAGTTTTCTCTGCGGAACGCAGTAACCACTAAAGTGTAGCATGTTCTATGCCATTTAGATTTTATTTTACAATCGTGTTTTCATCTATTTAGACGGTTCAGATGCAAACTGGTGCATAACCGGGCTTCGTAAACGATGACTGGTATTTAGCCGTAAATGATGGTAAACATGTAAAAATGTCTTAGGAACTCGATAAGATTATGTCTATAAATCATTGGTATGCCCAACAAGGAAGAATACGCTTTTGAGTTCACCATAATATAAAGCAAAAGGGGGCATTCATTATGCCTTGCTTTAAGTGCATTTTATCAACTTGTAATTTCTAACATATATGGATAACTGAAGAATTTGATGGTCCTGGATAAATGAAGAAAATTATTATTTATTCTAATTAAATCATTATTCATCGCCAACTCAAACGTTAAATTCTGCTGATTTACGTAAGGCAAAGATATTTCTTATCAGCGAAGAAATCGTGTTTCTTGTTGCATTTTATCTACAAGTTTTTGAAAAATTAAACACAGCCTGCATCACTTTCTCGATCCATTAACTTTGATTGATCTACAATAGCTATTAGGCGGGTATTTATTATCATCAACATATTACATATGGAACGTTTGTTAATAACATTGCTGTCACTCTCATTACTCGAAGATTAATTACTTTTTTATAAAATGTACGTGTAGGCTACCCATAACACTTCTTCGCACTAAAGCATATAATTTCCTAATCAATCATGCAACATGGGTATGTGCTCGTATTAAATCCATTTTTAATACATACACGCTATAATTAAAATTTCATTTGTACGTCATCTAATGGTCAGTGGAATGAGATTTGTTGGATCACACAGGGAGGATTAATAAAATATGAAAACATTCAAACTGTAAATCAATTAAATTGAACCGAAGCGGAAACTGCCATGCTATACGTTACAGCTCATGAAGGCATTTTATTAGCGTTTTTATCAAGAAAAACCTATTTTAGGACTTTATTATTTTATGTGGATATTGATGAAGTTCCTATTCACAAAACATTTGAGGCAACACTTTTGTTCTGTTACGGATGCTAAGCAAAAAGTTTATGTCTGCATATGAAAAAAATATTTATATAGTAATTCTGCTTCCAGTTCCAGTGAAATAATCGATATTTAATAATAGTTAACACTGTTCACTAAATAACATTAACATATGAGGCTCTAATAAACCATCTGAAATGCTTGGAAATCGCTGTAACAGGCAATCAATATTCTAATTAATCACGTTGAAAATACTTCCTAAAGTGAGAAAAACCGAAATAATGCTTTAAATATAATTAACACGCGGATACGCCGGGTACTTAATTGCTTCCATATTTATAACGCATAAAAATTAAACAAAGCATATTTAATAAGTATACGTATAAATATCTCATAATCTAATAAACACCATTATCGTCTAATAGAAATTATTAATTTATATTGTTTAGGAATGCTCTTAATGTATCTTAAGCATAATTTACTTGAATTACTATTCGTTAAAATAAATAGAAACAATGACAGGCATCCGAATTAAATGACTGCTCTTATTTGTTGTTAATAACCGAATATGACTGATTTACATAATTAGGCTTTGATTAATAGCTTCAAATTTTCTATGCCTAAATGGGACGACGTGCAGAAAGAAATCCATCAACAGCAATTTGTTTGTTTAGATTTAATGAGAGCCTTTATAATAGAAATGAATTATAATTAAAATCGACAAAGCAAATTGCTACTTGTAATAGTTATCTATGTAATTCCTGAGAACTTTAAAATTTGCTTTTTTTCTCCTAACCATCTTACTTACATCTTGGTGTATTTTCTTCTCGTTGATTTTTATTAGTGAGACTTTTCCAGTATTGCGGACTAATATTAATTACAACAAATATTGARCAATATCACTCTTAACAATTTTATTTTCGCAATTGACTCATACAYTAGATACKTGTAARTAGGGGCACATTKTCCAATAGWCAAAGCTTTGCCAATTCATKAATTAATTCACAAAACTTCTATAAACGAATGCAATTTATTGCTTCACTTAAAATCAAAATCGTAAATTTGTAGTTACTTTTTAAAATCTTTATTTCGTATATGATTACATTATTTTTATTTAATATGACTGTTAATACAGTTCTTTAGCTATACCGTTATATTAATTATTTCACAAATTGCAGTGGACTTGAGCACAATCTTTTCACCAATCAACCAATTCCATGTTATTTTTGATTGTGTAATTCATTTTTGAAATGAGGATAAAATTGAAAGTGAAACGCGAAAATAATATTAATTTCCTTCTCTTGGTCCTTAATTGTGTTTCACGAATTTTAATATTTCTATGTGTTACTTATATGGGCAACAGGGCGCTGTAAATTAAGGCAAAATTACGTTTTTTGCAATCGGTTTCCGAAATTATCATCATCATTAAAATAAATCGAGTTGATTAAAAAAAATCACTCATCACATTTTTTTTACTTTAATCACATGTTGAGTTACCAAGCCACTAATTTTGGTAACATACCGAAGAAGTTTTTTCACTCAGATTTATTGAAACCTGATTGTGATCAGTGGCGTAGTTACTGGAAGAAACTACAGAATTTTAGATAGGATTAGGAAATTGATAGCGGTACTTAACAGTATCAAATACTGGTTTAGATTCTACATTTTATCGCAAATTAACTATCATCATCAAATGATTGCAAGGCAAGGTTTTGAAAACATTTTAAAATGTAAAATTGTCAGAAATAAAA